TCCGGGGAGCACGGTCCCCGGAAAGGACAAGTACGGGTTCGAGTCCCGTCCGAGACTGGAGTTTTGCCCACAAATCGCCAACCTTGTGTGACTAGTTAGTATTCTCTACCCATAACTCTGTTAGGCCTACGTCATTACCTCAGTTTTTAGCCCATAGTTACTAAAATTATTTTTGGTTCTTTCAGCTCCCAGTCGCAGTATTGGTACTCTATATACTACCAGGGTGCTCGCGTTCATTTTTCTCCCGTATAAGACCCGTCTCTCAGTAAGACCAAAACTCATGGGAACCTCTACGGTACTCATTTCGCCCGTTCCAAATCGATTGTATCACAGATCTGAAGGAGTGGGAGACCTATTGCTCTACTATTCTCGCCGCATGGATGCTGCCTCATAGCCATCCAATGATTTACCAGTGATAGGGCTGATAAGGAATGATAGATGCTGTATGGTGAGGTTAACGTGGACAAATGTCGATACGTTGGAGGAAACGCGCTCTACCCAGCTCTCGTGATCCGTCCGTCATTCAAACTTCCTTCGATGTCAAGCTCTCCTGTTCTCTGAGTGAAGTTCGTTCTGCTCAAGGATGAGCATGAGCCACAATGTCCTGCAACAACAGTACACGTTTGGCAAGAATCACATGTAGAAATGTGTTTCTCCTGGTTAGATTGATTGCTTTCAAAATCATTTCTTCCACTTCTGTCAGCCTCCTTTCTCAATTGCAGTCCATCCAATTCGGTGCTCCCCATTCATCGGTTTGGACTGATATGAAACTACAACAGAAAGGTATGAGTTTAGCAACTTTTGACTGGATATGGCACTGTTAACCGATCCCTTTGTCTTTATCCTATCCCATCCTATCCTACTTATTTCATCCTAAATATCTTACGTATGAAAGCCGAATTTTGTATAGTTACTTATTTTTAGGTGATGTAAAGAACTTCGAAACCTCACTGCCTGTTAGCGCCACCGAAGCTCGAACGATACCCGGTTCCACTTCTAGTGAGTTTCTCACTAGTATTGACTGAGGAACATGGTGATCAGCGAAGCGATTCTTCTGTTTGAAGTTATCATTTGCCTCCTTTCCAAAACCTAACCAGTTCCATAGCAAGGAAACTGAAACTGGATGCTGTTTTACACTTGTGTTAACGAGAACCCGCTCATTCAATAAGCCTGAGGTTGTATCAGCTATTATGACTTTCATACATAAAGCAGCAAGTCAGCATGCCAATTTGATTGTTGATCCCTTGGTCTATACTTATGCCTGTCCATCCAGAAAACTTCCCGTGATTATGACAAAGGATCAGGCTGAAAAACCCACCGCAAACTGCAGTAGCAGTTAGGAGTGAGCTCAAACGGTAGGGTGCATTCGCCCGTTTGGAAAGGCATAAGGCAAATTCCGCGGCGAAAATAGTGGCCACTTAAACCTGTCATTGGGGACAGGTTGGAAGTAGAGTAGTTTAGTAAGATCAGCTGATTCAATTAATCTGCTCTCTTCAAACCTTTGCCCCAATGATAGGCTGCCGCGTCAAAAGGGCGAATGTTCCGTTATGCTTTCTCAAGAGGTAGGTTGGTATGATGCTAGCCATAGCGTTTATGCATGCAACATAGGTCGAAACATAGTCTCTATCCTCCTTGACAATGGTAATCGCTTGATAGCGATAGGCGTCAATTTGTAGCGTTACTAAAGAAGTCAGAGGTGCACGCAGTGATTGGTAGAGCGCATTTCAACGCCATCATGTGAGTCAATATCTTGCGGAATATAACGAGATAATGTCCGACCGGAAATCCATAAATTCAGTCCCTGTTTAACTGAAGCGTTCGAACTAGGTAGGAGTACAAACGGCAGGATGGGAACATATATGGTGGGCGGCGGCACAGGCTTCACCCACAAGGGGCTGGGTTCGCGTGAAGTAAATATGCGGGAGAGAGTCATAGCTCCCGTTTTGGTGAAATTGGAGAGTTCAAAATTGGTGGGAGTAGAGGAGGCAGAACGGGAGCACTGACGATAGGGTGACAACACTGACCATAGAGGAGGCCTTAGAGAGCAAGAACTATTCACAAAGTGTGCCCCAACCTCTTTGTTAATTACGATTTGGCGCCCGTCCTGGTGTTCGCTTTATCTAATATCATCGCTTTTCGTCTCGTTATGATAAAATACCCCTAATCGGTCCCTGTTTTTGGCAAATGGCCACCCAACGAGTATCTATTTGCTAAAACAAAAGCGACTGATGGTTTTACTTACAATTATGGCTCGATTGAGAATAACGGTTTCTCTTTGCTTCGATATCGTTTTTGACAAAACTTATCCGAGTATGACCAGTTTATCGAACATCATGACTATGGAGGATGACAGACGACTATTCTCCAAAAAGCGCCTATCATTCAAGGATCAAGAGCTGGCACGCTGGAATCGCGCCTTCTGCAGGCAAGTAGCGAGGCATCTTGATTTCAAAAGGTAATCCTTTAGAAATCAAAGAAGATCCAGAGAAGAGGAGAGCGGTGCAGTTCTGGCTGAAACTGCTGAGATTGGTTACAGTAGTGTCCGCCGGAGCTTCGCCCCTTATAACACCGGAATGGCTTGTTTTAGTCGTCCTGAAGGAACATTTACTGAATTCGAGGACAGTGAAAAAAGGCCATGAACGATGTTACATACATACACCTGTCGGATCGCCCAGCTGACGCCGGCCTATCCTCTTTTTTGGAGCAAAGGTACTTCGCCCGAAAAACATCGAATTAATAGAATTCTTTCCCTTTTTCTCGTAGCTTATTTCGCTGTTTCGCTGAGCGAGAGCATAGACTATCAAATGTCTTCGAAGATGTAGCTCTTTTTCGTACGGATACATCATTAAATGTGAATCCAACATTATTAGCGGTCGGATAAGTTCTGCCAAGAATGGTATCAAAGCAGGGCGAAACCGTGATCTTTGCTGGGTAGCGGTCGTAATCTAATAGCAACAAACGGACCAAATTCATTCCCTTGTAATCATACCACTTACCTTCTTATCGAATGAAACATGAAAAAGTCAAAGCTAGATCGTAAATAACAAAGGCACTAGGACTTAGTTGGTGAGTGGATCTTCTTCTCTAGGGCCTCTCCTATTGTCGGTGTTCCCATCCTGCCTCCTCCTAATGATTCTGCCCTCCAAGTCCACGAAATCAGGAGTTATGGATTTCCACTCACCAATCAGACACTATTTCGTTGAAACCCCGTCCCTTGGGGGCGGAGTCCGGCCCTACTACTCACCATAAGTGTTCCTATGCTGACGCCTGCCCCCTACCAAATTCGAACGCCCCTGAGCCAAACTGAAACTTTTTGCGCTAACCTCGCCTTCTATGGGCCTCCCGCCAATCATAAGTGTTCCTATCCTGCCTCCCGTACTCCTACCGAGATCGAACGCTCTAGGTCCCCGGGGACAGGAGTTATGAATTTTCGGTCAGACACACACAGACAAAAAACAAACACACCGACAACCAACAAACACATTCGGCAAATTATATATAGTAGGATATTTATTTACTTATTTTTGCCATAATTCATTCGACATAAACAGACAGCCGAGCCATGCTCTTAATCCGTTCAGAAGTGGCCGCCTTGTTTTTCCAGTCCATACCCGCAAAAGTCCTCGATGATTTCCCCATTGCACTCTTGGTCTTCCAATCGGTTTGCTTCTATAGGGCTTCCAAATCATCAATCTGACTTCCCGCCTTGCCTGTTCGTCTCTTTACATCATCTTATTGGCGTGGATCCACTTTCATTTTCAACCTCTGGTAACGGCTTCTCTAATTTTCGCCTTTTTTCGTATAGTTACATTAGATACTTCGTCGCGCAGTTGAAGAACAACTACCATGCGCTTATCGTTGACATGTTTTGATGCGATACCCTGTCGTTTTCATTTAAGCTCGCGTATCATATCTATACAATAGAGTGAGCATTACGCATGCGTGATGGAAACGTCGTTTGGTCTTAAGCGGCGTCATTCGTCTTTGCAACATAATTGGAACCCTTCTGCTAACGATGCACACTGCACTGATCCTCGTCTTAACTTCTTGTCCACGACCTCGAGGGTAGGCGGGAAGGCGGCTCAAATTAACGGCCGCTGACATCGGTTCGATTTCTTTCCATTTCACCAAGATATCATGGTAGTTGGAATGGTAAACATCCACTTGGTTTTATTTGCATACACGTCGGGGGTCCTATCACCTTGGTAGCTTCAGTGAGTTGTCGGACATGGATTGCAACCTATCAATAATCTGCACGCAACGTTTGTGAGAATATCGTCAGAAAAGGAGAGGTAATTGAGATGATCTCCTTCATAGGGTAACCTTTCGTACCCTTGGATTTATGAGACACATCTGCAATATCGAATAATCAGCAAGGAGAAAACGGATCACAATGCGTGGCAATTTTTGACTATCAGTCGCTGTCCACTCAGAACCTCAAACCAGAAGTGATCTGCTGGCGGAATGCAACCGTTTCATCATATGAAGAGTGCTCCAAACTGGAACGATTTTTCATTGTCATGTCTTCCACATGGTAAACTATCGCACGAGTAAAAATTTTGAAACAGATGAAAGTAGGGAAATAGGACTTAAATTGCTGATATTTGGAGATCGCTTTTTTTATGGGGAGGAGCGATAGTGGCTTTAAGAAAGTTTCCCGGGAGCTGGTTGAGCTGAAACGAGTGGTTCAAGTCATTGGCAATGTCATCCGTGCACAAGATGTAAACGTTTTGCAACTTTTGATGGATGTAGGTCGACACCAGGAGTACATGGTCTATGGTGTTCGTCTGCTGATATAGGGTTCAACACAGAGGGCCACGTGCTGAGAGGTGAAGGGGTCATTGACGGCTCGATCGGTCAAGGTTGTCGAGAATCGCAGTTGGGATGGTCGCAGCTTCTTGCAGCGTCATCGTAACTTGACGACTGGGATATCGGAACCGAGTTATCTGATTGCGTAAATAAGAAAATTGATGCCGAGCTTTCCTTCCCTCTATTTTGCTCATTGCATATTGCGTGATTCTATCGTTGTGCTTGCAAAGATAATCAATGTGTCCATCGAACCAATTCGCACAGCAATATGGATGTTATCTGCATATATGTATCTCATTTATATGCATACCAGTGTCGAAGTACTGTCATTACAGTACAGTAGAGATCACAATTTGAATCATCCACCTCACTTCA